CGCCGTCGCCGGCGGCGCCAGCGGCTCTAGCCGGCCGAGGCCGCAGCAACATCTGGGGGAAACTTAAGGTGGTCACGTAGGTTTCCCCGAGGCCTTGGCGTCGAAGAGTTCGTGGCTTCCCGGGGCAGCCGCAGGGCACCTGATGGCAACGCCTCTCCAGCCGACCCGGAACAGGGGGCGGTGGGGAGCGGGAAAAGGCGGGGGTGGTGATTTGACCTGTGCAGCAGGGGGACCCGGACAGTTCCCAGGCGCTATAGACCCGAGTGAGAACGGCAGAAGAGGGACAAGACGCAAAGGGGCTCTGCAACCTGGAAGCGAGCCACGCCGAGGGGGAGGGGTGGCTGGAACGCCGCGCAGGCAGAGAAGGGGGACGCCCCGGAACTCTCCCTCTTATCCTAGCCTCTTTCAGGCCCGCAGGAGACGCCCCAGGTGGCCCGCCCAGCTCCGGCCGTGCGGTCCGGTGGTGGGCTCCCCAGATGGAGAAGCGGCGTTTCCTTTGCTAGAAAGCTCCCTGCGCCCTCCGCGTGGCGGGCGAATTGATTTGCAAAGCAGAGCCGCCGGCGGCTGGGACGCTGGCGGAGGTGGGGCAAACTCGGGCAGCTAGCCGGGGCCCTCTCCTGGAAGGGATGTAGGCACACACGTTGTCTTTGAGACACCTTGTCTTTGAGACACCACCTCTCGCCTCCCATCTCCACCCTGTTCGCCTCCTCTAGTCCTGTCTTTCCTTCTTGATACTCAGATTGAGGCTGTACTAGCCCTAGTATTTCAGAGGAAGGTCTATTTCCCCTAAAACTGTGGGAGAGGTACGAGTCGGTGGCCAATGAATGTAGAAAGTATTCGGATTGGCGGACGGTGGGGTCAGAAAAACCTTTCTGCAGAAGGTACACCTGTTGCCTGCTGCTAGGCTGCTTTGTCTGAGAACGGAAAGCGAGCGACGCTTCACTCTCGCTCTTGAGGTTCCTGGGGCTGGGGCACCGTCTGCCCCATCCATTCTCTCTCTTAACCCCTCCACACAACACTTCCCACTTCGTACATGGGCACTGCAAGGAAAAAAGAAAGCACAAAAATAATAGTCCTACCCCTATTCCCACTTCCTTTCAGCGTAGACTGGTGTGTGTGTGTGTGTGTGTGTGTGTGAGAGAGAGAGAGAGAAGAGAGAGAGAGAGAGAATGGATAAATGGATAAGCCAGAGAAGTTGAGGCCAAGGATAGGGAAAGGTAGAAAAAGGGGATGCACCGGGCTAGGGAAATCCCACCCCAATTGCCTGAGCCCTCTGAGTGTGTTGTGTGTCACGGGACACCTGCATGGGCTTCTGCTAAGGGGAATGACGATACTGGGTGGGTAAGCTTACGGTGCTTCAGGCACGCCCCATGCCGTGCGGCTCCAGGTGCGGGCTACCTGGCCCACGCCAACATTCCCTTCCGTGAGGCTTTTGTTGCACTTCCCCACGTGTGAATGGCCGCGCGGCTGCGAGGGCGCAGGGGCTTAGGGGAATGTCAAGTGTACCCGCGCTGCGGGCTGCGCGGACCTGGGTGGAGAGGTCACACCTCGTTCGGAAAAAAAACAACAAAAAAAAAAAACAACCACCCAAGTTGGCTACCAAGGTGAACGCAGAACGGTTCCCACCTTAAAATCGGCCCTGCTCGTGACGTCAGGTCGGAAATATACCAAAGCGAGCGCGGGCCAGGAGTCCGGGGAGCTCGGCGGCGCGACGATTGGGCAGCC